TTCCCTACCCTTACCAACATGCCTATTGAAATCTCCTCCAATAAAAATGCTATCCTCATTGCCTATATGACACACTAAGTCATCCATGTCTTCCCAGAACTTGACTTTAGTTTTCGCATCCAATCCTATTTGTGGAGCGTAAGCACTAATTACATAGATGGACTTATTTCCTAGTACCAATTTAAGCATAATAATTCTATTCCCTATTTGCTTAATCTCAACTACATCATCCTTAACAGTTTTGTCCACTAGAATACCAACTCCATTGCGATTCCTTTCCTAACCTGTATACCATATCTTGTGCCCTAAATTTCCAATCTCCTTTGCTTTCTCTCCTGTCCACTTCGTTTCCTGTAAGCATAAAATGTTAATTCTTCTTCTTGCCATAACATCTACTAACTCCATAGATTTACCAGTTAAAGAACCTACATTCCAACTACCTAAACGAATTTTCCTATTATGGGCTAGCTCTGCCCTTTGCACACGTCCATGAATGTGCAAGGACCCCCCTTGCATATTTTTCACCATATCCGGGGCCCGACATGGCGCATGGGCTCGCTTTTCCCCCCGCACCCGTCCATGAATGTGCGAAGACCCCCTTGTCTATTTAACACTATACCCAGGGCCCAACATAGCGCGCCGCACGTAGGGAATGCCCCAACAGATTCTATGTGAGTGAAATCCATGAGAGTGACTTATTTTTACGCTGGTGGTCAACCTACCGCAACCCTGCTCCATTACCCGGGCTTGGGATCGGCTATACAAACGCATAGGCGGAGTTGGTGAAGTTGCGGTCGTACAACAAAACGAAGAGGGCTATGAGAGTGCGAATGCCTTGGTTGTTACAACGAAGCACTCAAAGAAGCAATGGATCATGGATTCGGGTTGTTCGTTCCATATGATGCCAAACCATGAGTGGTTTGAGATGTTCGTTCCATATGATGCCAAACCATGAGTGGTTTGAGAACTACAAGAGTTTGTTGGCAGTGAAGTCTTATTAGGGAACAACAAACCATGCAAGGTGATCGGAATTGGCTCGATTAGGATTAAGACTCATGACGGGATGGACAGAATCTTATCAGATGTGAGACATGTTCCCGATCTTCGAAGGAATCTTATTTCACTAAGGTTGCTTGACGAATGTGGCTTTAGCTGGAAGGGTGAAAAGAACATCTTGAAGGTTTCCAAAGGATCGCTTGTTGTGATGAAGGGGGTTAGAGACAAGGGTTTATATATACTTCAAGGAAGCACCGTGATTGGTGATGCAATGCCAGTAACAGAATCAAAAGGAAGTTATTTGGCAAGCCTGTGGCATAAGCGACTGGGCCATGTTAGTGAAAGAGGATTGCAAGAATTGGAGAAGCATGGGCTATTTGGTGGAGAGAAGTTAGGAGACGTGGAGTTTTGCGAGAATTGCATCTATGGCAAGGCTACTCGGGTGAAGTTCAAGAGGTCATCATATGTTACGAGGGAGACACTTAGCTATGTTTACTTTGATTTGTGGGGCGTGTTGCGAACAGAGACTCTAGGGGGTGAACGGTACTTCATTACTTTTATAGATGATTGTTCTCGGAAGGTTTGGGTCTACATTTTGAAAAACAAAAACGATGCTTTGAGGAAGTTCAAAGAGTGGAAGAAAATGGTAGAGGTTCAAACCAGGAAGAAGATCAAGAAGTTAAGAACTGACAATGGGTTGGAATTTCTTGGTGACAATTTCAATCAGTTTCTAAAAGATGAAGGTGTGGTTAGGAATAAAACCGTCAGGAAAACTCCACAACAGAATCGCCTGGCAGAGAGGATGAATCGAACACTTTTAGAAAGAGTGAGGTGCATGTTAATAGAAGCCAGTTTACCTAAGAGGTTTTGGGGAGAAGCTGTTAACACGGCGGCCTACCTTGTGAATAAGTGTCCTTTGGCGGCAATTGATTTCAAAACACCGAAAGAAGTGTGGACCGGTCATCTACCAAATCTTGAGAACTTGAAGGTATTTGGGTGCATTGCTTATGCACACCAAAAGGAAGGAAAGCTCGATCCTAGAGCCAAGAAGTGTATGTCCGTGGGATACCTAGAAGGTGTTAAAGGCTATAAACTCTGGTATAAAGACAGGAATATGTCGAAAAGTTTCATTAGTCAGAATGTAGTTTTCAGAGAAACCGAGTACTACATGGTAACAGTGACTCAATGAGGGTCTGGTGAAGGTGGCATGGATAATTATGCTAAAGAACATGCTGAGATTGATGTGGAGCTGTTGGGAAGCAATGGTAAGGAACGAGATGATGAAGCTATGACTAATGAGGATGATCACTTGCAGGTGGAGGAGGAAGATGGTAATCTGGATAATAGTCTTTACTCTTATCAATTGGCTAGGGATCAGACGAGGAGATCTCATAAAGCACCGGTTCGTTATGGGTATGCGGATTTGGTATCCTATGCTTTAATTACTGCAGACGACATAGATGATTCGGAACCAAAGAGCTACTGGGAAGCCGTTGCAAGCAAGGATAGAAATGTTGGAAGCACACCATGCAAAAAGAGATGGAGTTGCTTGATAAGAACAAGACATGGGAACTAGTGAAGAAACCAAATAATCAAAGGATTGTTTGTTGTAAATGGGTTTTCAAGAGAAAAGAGGGCATTGAGGGATTTGAAAAGCCTAGATATAAAGTGAGATTGGTAGCTAAGGGGTTCACACAACGGGAAGGAGTGGATTATAATGAGATTTACTCGCCAGTGGTGAAGCACACTTCCATTAGACTGTTGCTTGTTCTCGCCAATCAGTTTGACTTAAAACTAGAGCAAATAGATGTGAAGACGGCATTTCCTTCATGGAAATCTTGAGGAGAGAATCCTTATGGCTCAACCGGAAGGGTTTGTCAAGAATGGAGACGAGGAAAAGGTATGCTTACTTAGAAAATCTCTCTATGGCTTAAAGCAATCTCCTAGACAATGGTATCTCAAGTTTGATGAATTCATGTTGAAGAACAAGTTCGTGCGGAGCAACTATGATAGTTGTGTTTATGTCAAGAGGGTTAGAGAAGGCTTGAGGGTGTTCCTACTTTTGTATGTGGATGATATGTTGATAGCATCAAAAGATAAAGGAGAAATCCAAAAGTTGAAGTGGAAATTAGAGAGTGAATTTGAGATGAAGGACTTAGGGCCGGCTAAGAAGATATTGGGGATGGAGATCATTCGGGATCGGAAGCAAGGTACTTTGTTTGTGTCTCAATGTGGTTATCTCCGAAAAGTATTAAAAAGGTTCGGCATGTCGGAGTCGAAGGTGGTTCAAACACCTTTGGCGGGTCATTTCAAGTTATCTACACGAATGTCTCCAAAGACGGATGAGGAGAAGGTAAGTGTGGAGAAAATATCTTATGCAAGTGCCGTTGGTAGTCTCATGTATGCGATGGTTTGTACAAGGCCGGATTTAGCTTATTCGGCTAGTCTTGTGAGTCGTTTTATGTCCAATCCAGATAAAGAGCATTGGAAAGCGGTGAAGTGGGTACTTCGGTATGTGAAAGGGGCTTCAAATGTTGGCTTGCTCTACAAGCGGATGAGGAATGATGGTGAGAAGCTTAGAGGATATGTGGATGTGGATTTTACAGGAGACTTGGACAAACGGAGGTCTTTGACCAGATATATTTTCACATTATTTAGGTGCACAGTGAGTTGGAAGGCACAACTTCAACTGGTGGTTGCGTTGTCCACAACAGAGGCCGAATATATAGCCGCCACGGAAGGTGTCAAAGAAGCTATGTGGTTGAAAGGTTTGATCGGTGAGTTGAGAATTGTGCAAGATAAGGTGGAGGTTTTCTGCGACAATCAGAGTTCCATACATTTGACCAAAAATCAAATGTTTCATGAGAGGGCAAAGCACATAGATATCAAGCTTCATTTCATTCGGGATATTATCTCACGAGGGACTGTGACATTGGAGAAGATTCATATGGATGAGAATCCAGCGAATATGGTGACGAAGCCCGTGACAGGGATTAAATTCAAACATTGTTTGGATTTGATGAATGTTGCAGCAAATGACAACTAGAGCAGATAGTTGGTGGAAGTCTACTATGTAATGTTTCTTGGTTTCCGGTACAACTTATATCCAAGGTGGAGATTTGTGAGGAATGTCTCTAAGTTTATTGTGGTTGAAGAATGGAGCAACGACGACCAAGCGGCGTGATTTTGCACGTCGGAAGCAGGGGCAGCGCTGCAACGCCGGTTCTTGGCGCTGCAGTGCTCTATAGGTGCAGTTCATTGGCGGACAGAGAGATTAACGCTTTGGTGCTAGTCTGGCAGCGCTTCAGAGATGCGAACTGCATGGAGTAGCACCTCGGTGTTGGACGAGTGGCGCTGCGGTGCTGGTGCGAAATCAGCAAAGAGAGAAACTTCAAGTTTTGGCCGAAATTTTCATTTTCTGACTTGGGAAACTTACCAATCGACTTGGGCATGTCTTGGAGGCTACACAAAGGGATTTGGAGGTTATTTTAGGGTTAGGAAACATAGGGAAACGGGCGTAAGCAAAGAGAACAAGTGAGAGTGAGAGAGAATTGAGAGGGGTTCCTTAGAGAGTACTCTTGTATCATTCGTGTAATCACTTGTGATTGATCATAGTAGGCGAAAGCACTATATTGTAGGACGTAGGATCTTACATTGAGGTCTGAACCTGGATAAATTTTGTGCGTCGTTATTTTTTTCCTTTGCTTTACGTATATTCTGTATTGATTTTGAATTTCCGATTTCTTGTTTGATTGTTATTTCTCCCCAAACCGTTGATTCGTGTGCTTGAATCCGTCGGTCCTTATCACAATTTTGTTGGAATTTGATTTTTGATGGGGTCATCTTTGCTATGAAAAAAAAAAATGTTGTGATATTTCTTATTAGTTTAAACCTTTTGGGAAGATTTGTAAACTTACAATTTAATGGTTACTATTTATTCTCTTTCGGGTTAAAGGATGGAGGAGGGTTCAGTACCTGATCAACAACAACCTTCTCCTTCCCTCTGGTTCGAAATCTCCACATTCAATAAAAAGGCATGGGAAACACATAAAAGAAAGCCAATCTCATATTGGATTCTTCTGGCTTTGAGCAGTAGTGCAATGCTTGTGGCGTTCCCTGCTTCAAGCCTCCTATCCCGCCTCTATTACCAAAATAGCGGAACCAGCAAGTGGATCATCTCGTGGGGGCAGTTGCAGGGTGGCCTCTAACTGCTTTCATCTTAGTTCCGACATACTTTGTCTACAGGACTTTTCCTACTCCTCTGGATTGGAAGCTCACTCTTTCATACGTTGCGCTCGGTTTCTTAAGCGCTGCTGACAACCTCATGTATGCATATGCATATGCTTACTCCCCGCATCCACCACGGCTCTTCTGGCATCATCTTCACTAGTTTTCTCTGCGTTATTTGGATATATTCTCGTTAAGAACAAGATCAACATGTCAATAATCAATGCCATTGTAATCATCACTGCTGCCATGAGCATCATAGCCTTGGATTCAGATTCAGACAGATATGGCAATGTCACTGACAGCCAATACATCATGGGGTTCATGTGGGACATCCTGGGATCCGCTCTTCACGGGCTGATTTTTGCTGTGTCTGAACTAGTTTTTGTCAAACTGCTCGGCAAAAGATCGTTCCACGTCGTGTTGGAGCAACAAGTGACGGTCTCAGCATTTGCATTTGCGTTCACCACCATTGGAGTAATTGTCAACAAGGATTTCCAAGGAATGGCATCCGAGGGGAAGACTTTCAAAGGTGGTGAAAGTTCCTATTACCTTGTTCTTATTTGGGGTGCCATCACTTTCCAACTGGGGGTGTTAGAAGGCACGGCGGTGCTGTTCTTGGCTTCCACCGTGCTCGCCGGCCTGCTGAACGCGCGCGGTGAGAGTGCCGCTCACGGGCATCGCAGCCGTCATACTGATGAATGACCCCATGAGTGGATTCAAGATCCTGTCTCTTGTTGTAACGTTTTGGGGATTTGGTCCCTATATTTATGGCAGTTCTTCTGCATGTAAAGTTTCAACGTCACAAAATTTTAACTGTGTTTTCTGTTATCAGGCATACCAAATTAGTGGATACATCCTATGTTGTACGGGTGTATATTAATACGTAGGCAACTAGTGTAAATAAACTATAATTTTATTCTCCCTTTAACTTTTTTATATTAGTTGCCCTTTCATCTTTGCGGAGTAGCTTTTATTTATTTAATTTTAGGAGGCGTTTGATACGCAGTAATTAATATGAATCATATTTTTAAAAAAGTGATGGAAGATAATATAATTTCTAAAAATAATACATTATTGTATTTATTTCCATATAAGAATTTTGTCTCAAATTCTCAGAAATAATATATTACTATGTTTAATTGTGCATGAAAATAATGTATATTATAAAAAAACATATATTTTTTAAATAAATTACAATTAACATTAAAGTCTTGTTTATTTCACCGATTTGATATTAGAATTTAAATTTTGTTATAGAAAAAGTTTTTAGAAACAGTCACATTTAACTTTTATTACAGTAAAAAACTCACATAAAATTGCATCTCAATTTAAATTAAAAAATCAAATCAACGAACTAAACAAATCATAATATTTTTTAAATATTTAGCACTAATATTATAAAAAGTATAATATCATCATGCTATCCTGATTTGTTATTCAAATAATATGAGAACGTTTTTTTTTTCTCAAATTTAAAGTTTAAACAAATAAATTTATAAATTAAAACACTGAATTAAAAAAAAAAATCAGTTTCAGAGATCCCAACAACAACAACACCGCCGCCGCCACCACCACCACCGACCCAAGCCCATCACCACCAATGCCTTCTCTTTTTGCTGATCATCACCACCACTGCCTTTGAAACTACAGAGACCTCTGAATCTAGAAACACCCAAAATCAACACAAGCCACATCTCTCTCTTCTCATAACCCATGAACGTTTTGGGTTTGGTGGGTGTTTTTCCTCCTTTTTGAAAAAAATGCTGAAGCTCTATAATCCAATCTAAACACTGCACGAGATCTGGAAGGGCAGCGACTGGAGGCGAGCTGGGGTCCGGCGTGCGGGGGACTTCGCAGGACAGGGTTGTTCGCACAGCCTCATGGGTGGGGCAGCGACTATGGTGGAGGTGGGGGCAGCCTGGGATAGAGGATCTGTGCCGGCTGTGGTGGGGCTGCGACGGCAGGTCTGAGGTGGTGGTGGTGGGGCTGTGACGGTGTGTCTGTGGCGGCACTCATAGAATTGCGACGGCTGAGTAATTGTTGGGGGAGGAAGGGTTGTGTCAGTGTCTTGGTTTTTTTTTTTACTGATATCTAATACGGATTCAACAACAAGAAAAGTCCGGCGACGGTGTGGTGGATCGGAAGGCGGTGGCGGCGAGAGCGGTGCCAGCTGTTGAATGAGAGAGAGGCGGCTGGGTTGGGAAGAGATGGGTGAGAGAGAGGTTAGGGCTAGTTATGTCCGGCGAGGCGATGGCGTGGTGGATCGGAAGGCAGTGGTGGCATAGTAATCTTACAGATTTTCATTTTCATACTTAAAATTATGCATACTAAACGCTTTTAAAAAAAATAAATAACACCTTATTAAGTAGATTTAAAATTACTTTAAAATGTGGTAATGTGAAATTTATTAACTTCACTTTCTTGAATTTTAAAAAAGTTAAATAATTATATTAAATATGAGAATATAAAAGATTTATATTTTTACTTTTGAGATTATCTCATATTAAATATTTTAAGAATTTTTTCTTAAATAAAATTAATTTTTAATCATTAAATTTAATTAAAATTACATTATATTTAAAAAATATATAAAATAAAAATTTGTAATATAAATATGATACGATGATTTAAAATAAAAAAATTAATGGTATCCATCCTTTAATTTTATCTTTTGCTTTTTTAAACTCAAGAGCAGACATGTGAAATCATTTTCCTTCCCGTTGTGTCGTCCTTAAATATTTGTACGTTTACTAAATTGAACGACATGTCGTTTTATAATAAATGGATGGTAAATTTTAAAAAAAAAAAAAAAAAAAAAAAAAAAAAAAAGCTTTCACAGGAGACGACAAATTATTTTTGGGTTAGAGTAGACAACTAGGTGTCATTTTCTGCACAAACGACATAAACTTTTTTTTTTGTTTTTTTGTTTTTTTGTTTTGTTTTGCATGTTCGACTCATAACCCTTTGATGCACATTAGTCATTAATCATTACAGGCTGTAAAATGTATGCACCAAGAAGAAGAAGAAAAAAAAAAGGAGATTACAAGGTTTAAAATGTAAACCTTGGACAAGAGTCCAAAGGGAAAGTTTATGTATTTATCCTTGAAAATGTAAAGTTCCCTTGGTAAGGGATCACAACAAGCCCCAACAAATTCCTTCCCAGGCGTACTATTATAACAAGCCTGTGAATTATACAGCTAGACCAAGGTTTATTGCACACAAACACTTCTTATCATATATGGCTGATAAACCTTTCTGTTAGCAACATTAAAGAGAAAGGTTTAAAAAAAAAAAAAAAGGTTTGTTTCCTCATCAGCAATAGCTAGTGCTAAAGCATCATATTTAATTCTTAGGACCAATTTCCTTGACGGAACAGATCTGCTCCTCTCCCATTGCAGACATGACTGACACCACAAGTTCCTTTCCTTCGGCAAACCCGTCTTTAATCTATACACACAAACACAAATAAAAGAATTTCAATCAATAGTCAAGAACCAAATATACTATAATAAAATGCAATACAGGGGTGTTTCTATGGTCCTTTGCAAATGACCGTCTAACACCGTAATACGTAGAAATAAGAGGTGCAACGTGACGTTTATTTTATTTAACAATGAAGTTGTAAAGGCCTAACATTGGTCTGCCATAAGTTTCTTGATTTTTCACCTTCCAAAATGAACAAATATCATGTCACACATCACATTTTTATGTTATGGTGTTGGATTCGTGAAGGATTGTAGCCTTTGCCTAAAATACAGGTCAAGAAAAGATTAACGTTTTATGCATGAACAAGTTTAGTTACATGAAAACTTCCCCAAGTGAAGTACCTGGCTAAGCAGACTGTCATCGGTGGGAAGCCTCAGATCATCCTTGGTGTTTCCATTCTCAGTTAGAAGACTCACCTACAAGACACAAAACCGTAGTTGGTTTATAAATAGAAAACAAGAAATTTTTTCAGCTAAAAGCTGATTTCTCTTTTTTTTTTTTTTTTTTTTTTTTTTTTTTTTTTTTTTTTTTTTATAGTTTCTCATCATCTGGCTGAGATTTGGGTTGTATGATACATACCAAAAGTATTTGGGTTTAGTTTGTTTCGCAATTTGGACTCATACAGACATAAGAATTTCTAACTTTAACAGGAACATGACATTATTCATTCTTTCTTATGGAATCAGCAAGTAACAGAATTCCCTGCAGCCACTTTTTTCATGTCAATCGAATTCGATTCGATAACTTACAAAACCATCTTCGGAGATATCAATCAGCTGATAGTCGGTACGATTGACATGAGGAACCTGCAAATAACAATGAGGAACAAAATTGAAAACCAAAAAAAAAAAAAAAAAAAAAAAAAAAAAAAAAAACTTGAAAGAAAAGGTCCGCATAAAGGTGAAAGAAGAAAAGAAAAAAATGGCCTTACATCACAGTTGTGGGATGAAGGAACAATATCTTCAAGTTTTTTCCCATTGAATATATCAATTCCCACAAAGTGGCACTTCGCATGACCATGCTTTCCAGTTTTTGAGGTGGAAACTTCAACAACCTGTTCAAATAATGCCACAATAAACCGTTTTCATAATCATTTTGGATAATCAAGCTCTTTGATTTGAGAATTTTATATTTTCTTGCTAGAAACAAACACTTAACAAATTAACTATAAAAGGAATAAAAGTTCTGAAAGATAGAATCATAAAATTTCTTTCTAATGAAAAAAAGAAGGGTTTATAATCTTCAGATTCATGGACAACATTCACAGCTACTACGTAGATTTAAACTTGAACAAAGAATCATGTTCATACACTAAAATGGCAAATTTAAAAACAAGGCGAAGGAAAACAACGCATAATTAGCTATGAAGAATCCTAATTGCTACCACTTGGAAATTTAAGCATGGCAAATTAACAACAATAATGGACTTAATAGACAATTTTGTTAGTTTGTAGTGTCAAATTTTGCACCGAAAAGGAAAAATACGACTAATCAATTAAGAAAATTCTGACCAAGAAACTAAGCTTCCTGCACAGGCTTCAAAAGCAAAACCCCACATGCAAAACAATAAACACATGCTTGGGTGAGTGTATATATATGTGTGTCCGTGTGTGTGTGCGTATATATTTATATATATATATATATACTCAATTAAAATATGATATAAACATCGACAGCCCAGTTGAAATCTCAGAATACAAACTCGGAAACGTGAAGAGAGAGAGAGAGAGACCTTGCAAGGCCTGGACTTGATGACGATGTAGCCATTCTTGCGAATGGCGCCAGCTTGCTGAGGGTACGTCTTCGACGCTCCCGCGTCCGCCTTCGCGTCGAAATGGTGCTCCTCGTCCGACATTTCTCTCTCTCTCTCCTCTCTCCTCTCTCTCTCTCCTAAAAAAAAGGAACGTGGACGAAAGAAGACTTCGCTGTCTTTTTATTCCTTTTCTTTCTTCTTCTTCTTCTTCTACTTTGTTTTCTGAGGTTGATATTCTTTAATTTATTAGTGATCAAATCGTAACCGTCGGATATATTCACTCTCTCTCCACTTTAAATCTTATCGTATTTAACTTATCAGATAATAAGGATTTTCTGTAACCAAAATCCAAAATATATATATATATATTGTTAAATTCCAACTAATATGATATCTAAGTTGTTAGTTTTCTATTAATATATGATTATTGAATTATCACGTTAATTAGTATTATTAATTATATACACTAATGAAAAAATTGACTACTCAGGTAAAAATCAATGAGATGATCTTATATATTAAGTGTCAATATTTTCTCTAAAGAGTGTCAATTATTTCTTTTTAAAACTTTACAATATGATTTCTCTAAAATGAAGTTTTTGTTTTATATTTATAACTTTTTCTTCACAGTTTTTCCCCAAAATTTTCCGTAATATTAATAATCAATAAAAGTGGATGTATGTATCGTCATTTTTTTTAGAAGTTGAATTAATTCATAAGGATGCGGATGGAATCAAAAACTTTTTTTTTTTTCGGCTAAAGGGTTGGAATTTGGAAACAAAGTTGTTTGATCTTATCTAACATTTTAAATGTTGTTTTCGTTTAATAAAAACCAGAAAAGTAAACTTTTTATTATCTTTTTTAAATTGTTCTCTCTTTTTGGTTGATATTTATATCTAAATCTAAAACGTGTGATTCTAACTAGTTAATCACGATAAAAGATGTTAGATACTCACTTTAGACGATGCAAATTCTTCTCTTTTGAAAAAATGTTGTGTTGGGTTAAGCATCTGATGCCCAAGGAACAAAAAACTTATTCTTCTATGGAAATTCTCTATTGACGTTTCAACCTCTCCCCCTTTTTTTTTTTTTTTTTTAATTTGTAGAATTTTTTTGGGAATAAAATAAGAACGCTAAAAAATTAATAAAATTGCCCAAATAATTTTATTCCCTACTCTTTTAAAAAAAAAAAAAAAAAAACTTTTAAGGTTTAATCTTTACTAATGCTTAGATCACCGCATACCACATGCATGACAATGTGCTAATTATATCCCAAATTTGTACATGACTTGTAGAGTTTCACATTCTTGGCATATTTACTTACATAAAATCGAAGTAGGCAAGAGACAGTAAGATTCGGATTGAGAAATCACAGTTAAATAAATAAGTTGTGTTAATAAAATAATTCTATCTTGATAAGATTAATTCTTAAATAAGTTAGTAACATATTAGGACTGCAGCCAAATCTATTATAACTGACTTATATATAAGTAACCATGAGCCATTAGAAGTCTAACTCTGATTAAGTCCTTTAGTTAGTCTATTGTATTTGTATTATAAATAGGCTGAGTCATTAAGTTTTATTTGTTCTTAAAAAAAATTCATAGCAAGATATTGTGTAATTATCTAGAGATTGAATTCTTGGTGAGAGAACAAGAGAGAGATTGTGATACAAATCATGACATGACTACTTCAAGTGATGGGAGCACGGTTAGGACTAACACATGGAACCAAGATCCGCTCCAAGTTCCGGTAGGACCAGTCACAAGAGCTCGGGCTAAACGTTTCAATGAGGCACTTAATGTATTAATCTAAGAGGTCCAAAAAAGAGAAGTATTTGTGGTCACTACTAATGGTGAGCCAAGATTGGTCCAAGTTATCAAAGTAATTTCAGATAAGTACCATTAGGAGTTGGCGTGTGCACTGTTCACGTGTTACTATTCACGCGTTATCTATTCACCAAGTCATGAGGATCAAGATCAATAATTTGATAGTTATCTTTAGTCACTATTTAATAGTTATCCTTAGTTTCTTTTTAGATTCAGAGTTTGTTTAGAAGTTAAATAAGGCATATTTATCCAAAAGGATAAATTTCTTTTCTTTAGGATAGAGTTTGACCAAAATTTGAATTTATGTAATTCAGCCTATTAAATAGGCGTGTTCAAGAGTTAATCGTCAGATGAATTTTTTTTTAGCAAAAAGTTTGAGCATTCTCTTTAGTTCTTTAAGAACTTCTTGAACTTATCAGATTCTCCGTGGCGTTCGTTCTTGACTTATCAATCAATTCTTCCATCATTGATTGTGGTGTCTTCACTATACCAAGGTTCTTGCTTCCATATAAGCAACGGGTCGAGGTTTTCACTCTAGCCTTGTAACATCCGGTTAAATTAATTGCGATTAATTAATCAAATCTGGTGGTTAGTATTAATTAATATGAGATTAGTAAAAGATTCTCAGTTATAATTATCATGAAAAGAATCTTTCCCCTTTAAAAAGGATTGTTTTGAAATTTACATTGCTATCCCTTGAATAGTTTTAAATGTTGGTAACTAATTTTTCAGAATTTAATAATGAGTCATTCCATACTCTATTCAAATTAGACTTTAAAGTCTAATTATCAAATTTACCCAGAAAGTCTAAATCTATTTTTTCTTTTTCTTTTTCTTTCTTTTTCTCATTTTTCTCCCCTTATCTCTCTTTCCCACGTACACTCTCTCTCTACGCCGACCACCTACCACCAGTGAGATTCTCGTTGACATGCCAGATGACCTCCACATCCGCCGGAAATAGCCGCAATTGCCGGCGAAATGTCTGAAAACTACCGAAACTTCTCGCCGTCGTAACTTTATCGTCCGATCTCTGATCGGAGTGATTCCGGTCCCTATGGACTCAGCTCGATGAGATGAACAAAACCCATGCCGTCTTACCTGTCGATTCTTGTCAGAGCGCCATTGCTGGAGCCGCCCATTTCGGCCGCCGCGCCTCCTCTCCATTGTGCACTGTTCCGGCCTCCGTTTTTGACAACGCCGGTGCCATTGGACTCAGAGGACGACGTAGAGCAATAAACAACCCTCAGCCGCAAGAATCCACTACCATTTGCCAGAGATCGAAGCTTGCCCCCGCTGCCGTTTGGGTGGAGGGGGGTTCCGATGATCCAACCATTGGATTGTCATGATTTTGGTGTCAAAACACTCAGAAGGAAGTGGGTAACAAAAGCCTTAATCAATTTTGAGGTTCCATTGGTGGAGAATCGAGAACCGAGTCACCAAATTTTTGTCAACATCTTTGGGTTTAATCGGAGTCGATAGAGGCCGAATTTGGTGAACTTGACTGCACCATGGAACTTAGAATGGTCGCTTTTGTTGCCGCCGGTGGCTGGATTCCAGCGAGTCTCAGTTCTTGAGGTTCCTGACGTCCGATCGAAGATTTGAGACCATATCCTGACACATTTTGATGTGTTGTACGCAACGGTGATCTCCATTTACGCCAATTTCACTCCGTTGAAAAGTCTACCGGTACTATGCACGCAGATCGAGGCAAATCAAATGGTTTCGTTGAGGTTTAGAGCGAGCCGTGGAGCTTCAAGAATAGATGGTTGGACATCGTGAAGTTATCCATATATTAAATTGCCAAGAGGTAGAATATTCTTGTCCATATCTTTGTTAGTCTCACTTTAAATGGTTTTGGCCAATGAAAATGTTTTAGAACAAAACATGTTGAAAGAAAATGATTTCAAATGAATAACATGAATAATGTTATTAAGTTTCTAATGATTTTAGAAATGAGGTTTTAAAGAGTATCATTTCTTAAAATGTAAAATTTTAAGAAATAATATGACGCATCGTGGCCACAGAGATCGGGATATGGGAATCGTATCGTTAGAGGCAGATCCCGAAACCTGTACGGATCCACTTCTTATTCAGTGGTGTTATGGCTCTGCATATTTTCATTATACATATATTTTTCTATTACTACGTGAGTATTTCCTATTTTTTATAAAAGATGATCGATTCCGGGTGTATGTCTTCAGACCGTGAGCACCTTTATTTACAATGTTTTATAAAATTATATTCTATTGGGCCTTTCGTTCACTTTTACTATTATATTTTCAATGTTTTAAACCCCCTCCGGAGTTAACGGTTTAGATTTACAATGTGTCCTGTCGATGTCAATGGATTGAAGGCGCGAGATTCGAAGCGGTACGTTTGTTTCAGATTTACAGTTTTAATTCTGAGATGTACTGTATTTCTGTATATAAACTGTATTGGTCAACATTGTCTCAGAGTTGTATTAAGTTTCTTAGAATTTATGGACTGTTTTAAATATTATTTGTAAAAGAAAGTTTCCGGAGCAAACTATATTGATATTTACGTATTTATTTTTGTGATTTTTGTTAAACAGTCCAGTTTAATTATGTTAAATTTTAAATTAAACCCCAATAATCATGGTCCCATCTTTGGGGTCGTGACAATTTTTGGTATCAGAGCACGGCTTCAAATTCTATGGGAAATCGAGTCTGTATGAATTTTCTATTAAGTTTTGTTCTTTTAACAATTTTTGTGTTGAGACATGTCGTACAATACTAGTTAATACATGATACAGTTGCACTTGAGAATTTGTTGTTCCTATATCGATGTTTATCGATATGAAGCTTAAAATAAAAGTTTGATTTTGATCCAATGTTATGGATTTGTTTCCACAAGTGATATTGACTCTTGTCAGTTTCAATTCAAAATCAGTACTGACTTCGAAATTCTCACGAGGATTTCAGTTTTGAGATGATATTCGTTCTTACTTCCACGTATTTGAATTCTCGATATTGGTTCCTTCCACCTTTCGACACGTCTAACATGGGGGTTTAAGTTGATGGAGGGCGATGACTTAAAATCGAGCAGTCTTGGTCGTTAAAGTTTCTTTCCTCCTTGTTTGGTTCTTTCCAATTGGATCAATGCGCAACTTTAGTCTTGCAATCTAGCTTTGTATCCTAACTACTCGTTTCAATTCACCTTATGCATTCTTTTATCTCTTAAGAGAGTTTTGCTCAAGAGTGTTTATTTCATGGATTCCTTGAGTTGATAAGATATCGTTCTTCCTTCGAATAATGATGATGGTCGCTATAAACCTCGTCGAGAAATTGGCACTTATCTCTGATATTAAATTATGTTTAGCTTTTGTTTAGGAAGCGTGGTAGGTCATAGCCCACAGGTTCCAGGATTCCAAGTTCGAG